GTTAACATTAACCAACAATTCATTCCCTGAACTCAAACCAACGCATATATTCACTCATAAGATGTTTTTAGCACACCAGGTATTTCAATTGACAGCTGTGGATTTCCAATGTGGAAGTCACAAGGGAAGGCCACAGAATTAGTTTTGAATTGAGCGGCAACCTTTTCTGTGGAGATGGTCCCCAGATAGTCTGTGGAGGCTGGAACTAACTGCCTTGAAACGTGAAGCCAAGACCTCCTAGCCGCCCAATGGAAGGAAAGACCTAATCAACACATCTGAGTCATGGGCAGTCTTTCAGAAGAGAACTCTTCGCTGAAAGGGGTGGGGATTGGATTGGTGTGAAGTCAGGCCGAAAGAGCGGCCTGGAACTGTCCTGGGACATTCAGGCGGAAATTGACCAATCAGTCCTATTTGTTCCAGTAATTGTCTCAAATTTAGTCATGATTTCCACTTACATGTACAATCCTCTTTTTTTCAATGACTGTTTTACCTGAAAACTAAAACATATGCATTCAGCATCTGCTTTATATTTCTGGGCCCTATTTTGGCAGTTCTGTTACCAATCATATTTCATGGACATCATTTTGTGTAGCTCTACACTTTTTTCTTTTTGAGTAATTTAAATATGCAAATTCTTGTGTGCCGCATGACTTTGAAGGAGAAAACTAACCAAATATACCACATGAAGTTCTAACCATCAGCGGTAGACTGAGTTGAGTACAAACCCTCTTTGTAGAGAATCAGCTGGAGGAACCGGATCTCTTCAAAGAGGAAAGATATCGTTGATGGCAATCAGAATTTTGCAATAAAAATTCTGGAGGTCACTTTCGTGTCTACTTGTTCTTCCTCTTTTCTAAACCACTGTCAGTGTCAGTATCACTGGCTTGGTGTCCTTCTGGTGTGGTGTTGTGCCTTCTGATTGACCTCTCGTAAAAGTGTTTCCTGGATTGAGGACATGCGATTCCTGTGTCCGGTTTGGTCATAATAGCTGGATGTAATTGCAGTCAGCTGTTTGTGGTTTTCATCCAAAAACCACAGATGAAAAAGAAAATCTGTGAAATGAATAATTCACTCCAAAGATCAACAGGGATATTTTGTTCTTGGAAACTTCATGCTCCTATGCCTAAACTAATGAGTTTTCTACATTCCATTGCTGCTTTCAAGATGAAATAAACTTTTACGGAAAGAGAAACCTGTAGTCCCCCTTACAAACTATGACGTTGTTGATATATGGAGATTTTGAGACTTGGCAGAGCATTATTCTTGTCAAATTGTTTCAAGCTGTTGATACTGTACACAAGTAAAAACAAACTGACCTTGTTAGGTTGTCTTTTAACTGTAAGGATTTACCGGTACACGTACATCAAGCTGTTTCTTCTTTTCTTTTCAGAAAGATTTGCCACTTTGCACGTTAGTGGCTTGGTAAGGCTTGGGGGAGAGGGAAAGGGGGAAAAGTTCCCCAGGGAGGGGATTCCCCCTTGGCTAGGCTACTGTTACTGTGAGTAGTGTCTGACCTGGTTCATTTTTGCCTGTAAAAAAGGCACGATTTTTTTCCTCCAACTTTTCCGAGGTTACATTTACACATGCATGTGAACATTCAACATGCACATGTTTACGTGTGTGAACAGTTGATCAGAATAGAACGTGTTGGTTTGTCTGTAGACCGGAAACTTGCTGGGTTTCCTACCTTGCAGATGTACATCTGGTGTACTCATCAAAATTATCCCCATTAGGTCAAGGAATGGTCATAGAACAACTGTTTTTAAAAGCTTCCTAAAGTTGTCTTATATGTCCAACAACAAGTCCATGCCTATTGCCTGCATGAGTACATATTTATCAGTTCATGGACCGAAAAAGGAAACAGATGTCTCTATCCACTTTCAAGATGGTAGAGATTTTATTTGCTTCATGAGGGAAGAATGTTGTCTGAAGTGTGCTGATGTTGACACTGTCTGGAACTGTTCCAGATCATGGTCTTTTGGAACAGCAATCCTCTGGATGATATTCTGAGACTTTTCCATGGACAGATTTATCTATTAAATGGGATCTCATAAGTGTACTATTACTAACTGGAAAGAGAACAGCCAACAACTAACAGGCCTTAGGCCCTCCAATCCCAGCAGAGAAAGAATAATACTCGCTGATTGCCAACCAAACACGAGTAGAGCTCAAGTCAAAGTCACCTGCAACTAGTAGGCGGGAGGCACTCCAAGAAAATGTACACTTGTCCAGATCACATGGGTCTCTGTGGACACTTGTCAGTTGCTTAAAGAAACATTCTTCTCATGAATTGCAATTCATTGGTCATACATCATGGAGGTAGAAACAGAGTTTGAGAACAAATTAATTAAATTTTGTGCTTAAATTCATTCTTTAATGGCTTTATCAGTGGAAAGGGAACAAAAATGCAGGGTGTCTTGCTTACAGTGTGCACTGTGTGCCATTGTGGGAATCGAACCCACGACTGTTAAACTCAGCAATCTAATGACTGCCTTCCACTGGTTGTCATAGTGATCCTACATGTAAGTGGGAAGATTTAGGTGTGTAGAGCTTGCAGTTGGAGTTAGTTTCCCAAAGGTATGGGCACTATAATGTACATGTACAATGTATGTCCAATCAAGAGAACGTGCTGTCTGAAAACTTGACCTTCTGCACTGAATAATCTGTTTGTCAAACTTTGGCCGTTACACCATTTCCACATCCACAACCCCAGATGTAATAAATCTCAGGCCATGCAAGTTGAAATTCCATCCTGTCACATTTTGCCACCAATTGAATATTGATCTGAAAGAAGCATCGGTGATGTCATTTGGCCCACTGCTGGGAAAATTATGAACATTATTTGAGTGTTGTAAATACCATAAATTCTAACCCTTGCCCTGAAAGTTTTCTATCATATTCCACCTAAAAGTTCTCAAATGATTAACGTTTGTCATTCCATCTAAAAGTTCTCAAATGATTAACGTTTTTCTGTGTTTGATTTTGGATTTTCAGGCTGGGGAAATTAGTTTCATTTTATGTTGTTTAGTTGTGCTCATTATACACAAAAATTTACATGGGAACATGGAGTTTAGGCTAATTAAAATGGAAAAGCTTTTCCACCCAAATCTGCTTTTCCACTGAAGTATTTCCACAGGTACCTTAGAGCTTTGGTCGTGTACACTGATCAAAATATTTTGATCAGGATTGCTAGTGACTGGGTTTAGAGCGAACTCACATATATGACTTTTGATCCAGGATGACATTTGTAACCCTGCTCCAGATTGAAATGTTGCAAGTGTGAACAGAGGAAAAACAAATCTCGAACATTGGACATGAATCGATTCTCAAGATTTCTGGGTGTTCCAGAAGGATCCTCAAGCACTCAGACCTATAAAGGGTTTGATGGAAACAAAGTGGACCTCCTGTGTGAGTTTACACTGGTGATAGCCCAAACATCCACCAAAAAGGTTTGAAAAATTAGTAACCAGTGATGCTTGACGTAAATCATAGATGGAGGAGGTTGCCTTCTCTGAGACATAGTCTCTCCAACCACTGCAAGCTCTAATCTCCAAATGCCCTATTGTCTGGGGGAAATGTTTATGGCAAAGCTAACATGCCATGCCCATGTTTACCAGACTGAAATTGGTTTGGAGTAAGGCCTGTCTGGTGTCACATTGGTCACTCAAAACAAAGAGTACAGAAAGTTGGAAAGGGGGAGCTATGGATCAAGGGGTTTGTGCAAAATCTGACAAGAAGGAGATGTCACAAGTTTAACTTTTGAACTGAACCCTTCTCTCCGGGTCAGGATTGTCTTCTTAATTGTTGACCTCATCAACCTGGGCGGTCTGAGAGAGTCACTGGTTTACCAGTTGTAAGAGACTCCATCACACCCTGCTTAATTGCACTCTGCTCAAATGGTATCCCATCAGCAATAACGCCCAGTTACAACCTTCGCTCTTTCCCATCTTAGCCTCTACTGTTAGTTTCCTGTCCTTTTTACGGGGGTCCCGTCAGTCTTACTATGAAAAATTAATCCTTTTGGCCCGCAGGTTTCATCCAGGGCCAGTGTGGTTGGATGGAGCCCTTCACTTTGTCACGAAACTCCAAGAATTATGTTGATGTTGCCATGGCATTCAACTTTTAGTTCTGTTGAAGTTTAGACTGGCAGTGGTCCAAAACAAATACCCAGCAAGGTTGATGTTACAGTAGAGGAACTTGCACTTTTTGGGCTCACAAATGTGGCCAGGCATTTGTTTGTAGAGTATTATCCTCATGTGGAGAAAATATCAAAATTGTTTGCAAAACAAACACAAAGAAATTTGTAATCCACAAAATGACCACAAACATAGCTTTGTCAATATGACGAGTGGAAAAAGAATCATGGCACAGGAAGGTTTGAATTTAGCAATCAATTACTCTAACAGGTGTTTGTACGTCCTTGTTTGTCATTGTAATTGCATGTTATTTTTAGCATTAAAAACCTTTACCTACAACGTCAATGTGCTTTGGCGTGAGATGTGAATGACTCACTACTGGCTTTCAAGTACAGCAAAAATAAAAAAGACACCCTCTCACTGACCTGAAAATGAGTCAAAGTTCACTAATTTAACACAATTATCAAGACTTTCATCATATCAGTAATTGATCTCTCACATTTTATTCATCTCGTGACAATAATAAAACAAATATTATTTAAAGGAGGAAAAATAGACATGAAGAGTATCCTCTCGTTGTGCATTGAACTCAAAATGGCACACAAGGTTAAAAGTGTTTTGTTTTGTCTCTATGTCTACATATTTAATCAACTGTGAATGACTGACTTTTCTGTGTACATTTTCTGTTCCATCACATTGTTTTTTAGTGTGTAGACTTGATGGCTTCAATCTTCAGAATGAAATCTTGTTCAACTGACATGATGTCATGATACATTCCAGTTTGCTGAAATTCAGGATTTTATATGTGAGCTTCAATCATCTTGAAGACCATTGAATTATCCTGATACTTGTTTCCTTCTGCAGACATTGGGCCAGCCACCATCACAACAGATCCAGACAAATTTGTGGAGAAACTCCGCAACGTTTATGTGAGTGGGGGTGGAGACTGTCCAGAGGCCAGTATAGGAGCCATCTTGCAAGCATTAGAGATGAGCTTACCTGGCTCCTTCATCTATGTCTTCACTGATGCCCGCTCCAAGGATTACCACCTAGTGAATGAAGTCTTGAAAACCATCCAAGAGAAGGAGAGCCAGGTAGGTCACTGACCTCTGTGTGGGTGTCAGGTCATTGACCTGGTCAGTTGGAGAAAGAATCTTTAAATAAAGAATGATGTAATTCGTTACAGACTAGACCACTCTGAGTTACAAATGGGAAGCCCAGGTCTGATTTTTGAAAGGAAATTTTGTCTCAGGTTGAATTTCAAGCTCTTTTTAAATTTTAACAACATTGAAGACAGTGCTTGCTAGTCACTACTATGTAAAACTAATGGACAGGTAAAACCCTGCTTTATATTTCTAGTTGTAAATTTGTAACAAATTAATTTAGTCATTCTTAGGGCAGATTTTGGCACAGACTACTGATCCGTCAATCTGATATGAAGCATTCTCAGACGAGACATGAGAGATTATCAAATTAATGAGGGTTATCACATGTGTAAGCCATAGAGTGCCGTAGTGAACTCTTGTCTGAGGCTGTGCCGGCACGCACAGGAAACGAGAAACTGAACAAAAAGGAAACCGTCTGTAGCGACATTTCCTTGGCATTTTCCTTGGATTTTCCTGTGCCGGAAGGCGGTCATATTGTCAAGCAAGAAACATTTCTGTGGCTTCTGGACATGTCTGACTTGGTTCTATTTAATACTTTTTGTGGGAAGAAAGCAAGTTTCATGGTTTTGGAGTGTTTAAATCTGTAAATCTAACTTGTGCAGCTTTCAGGAAATGTGCAAACTGAATTTTCTTGTCGTTTCCCCTGACCAATAACAAAAAAACCTGGTTGCAAGTCTTGGGACAACTAGACAGGCCCAAAACTCTATCAAACTGACAAATTTGCCTTTAATAAAACATTCAATTGTGCTTTTAAAATTGATCTTCTTTCCAGAACCTTCTTACAGAAAAACTTTACAATATCCAGCATTGCATCCTCAATAATGGATTTCCTTCTAAATTTTCAGCCTTACGATTGTGTTTTCAGATTACATCCATACCTAATGATTCAAGAAGGAAATTCTTTTAATATCATGTACACATGTGCATTATATCTACATGCAGATTACAGACAAGCTAGGAGGATAAAACATGGTTCAGGATATTATTTATTCTGTCATGACGTTGATGGACCTTAAAAATATCTGTTTGGAAACACAATCTGATTGGAGACTGTGATAGTTCCATATCTTCCATCCGTCAATTCACAACACTCTATTTTTATTTCCCTTGCCAGGTTGTCTTTGTCATGACTGGTGACTGTGGCAACCATTCTCATCCTGGATTTAAGGCCTATGAACAAATTGCAGCCACCAGCTCTGGTCAAGTCTTCCTCCTTAACAAATCTGATGTCGATGAGGTATCACAGATGTCATAGTTTTCTTACTCTTGTTTGTCTGTGCTTGCCATCTAAGGGAGAGAATTTTGATGTCTGACTTGACATAAATATTGAAATAATACACTTCTGTAGTCATGGTTGAATTCATACTCACTACTTGTGTGCAACAGTCATTTGGTTATGAAATTTAAGTAGAGTTTCTCAAATCATTCTCCGATTCACCAAAGACCATTGTATTGTGTGGAAGTGTCTCAGTCATTACTTTGTGTATACATGTGCTAGCCACTGCAATGGGGTGTTAGATATTGCGAATCCTTGATTGCCATGACAACTCAAAGAAAAAAAAACAAATACAAGGAAGGTCAGGGAAAGATTCAATTAAGTTCATTACTAGTCTGAAAGGATCCTTTGTCATATTTCCTGATGTTGGTTTGGATATTGTGCAATGTTTATTGGCAGAATTACAAGGGGCTTTTCAAAGTAGCAATGACACAGTTGTACCATCAATGTCATGATAAAAATCCTAGGTAAGGTGCAATTTCCAACACCTTATTCCTCCTGGTAATTCATACAAACAATTGATAGGAATTAGTATTTGATACTTCCTTCTACGGATGGAAATTGTTCCTCAAGACATTTGCAGGGGACCCTAAGTGTACGAGAATGCCTTTCTGATCATCATTGAAGGAAGCCCAATCTAAATACATGTACATGTAACATATTTCTGAAACTTATTCTGTGTTTGATAAATTCCCAGGTACTGAAATTTGTAGAAATATCCCTTCAGTCAAGGAAAGTCAACCTGATTGGAACCAATCATGACTCCAAGGCCATCATCTCACATCGACTACCTATCGACTCCAGACTCAATCAGATTACCCTGGCTATCAGTGGAACCAACCCATTCCTGGAATTACATGATCCCACAGGTATGGAGGGAGGGTAGTCACCCTGACAGGCACCCAGTTTATAGATTTACAAATTGATTGTTGAAAACAGAAACTCTGGAAAGTGGTATATCACATTGTAAATTCAGTGAAATCATTGTGAATGCCTGAAAAATTTTTGGGTGAAAAACTTGGTTTGATGACATAAATTAGATATTCATTTAAAAAAGGATTTTTTTTTTTTCAAAAAATACTCCAAATTTAATTAGTCTGATTTTGTTCTGTTTTACAGGGAGACCAGTTTCAGTTGGTGACCCAGGCGTAGAAAAACAACTGGATTTAGATAATGTTTATATATTAAGCATTAAAAATCCCAAGCCTGGATTATGGTACTTACGTGCCGGTAGCAGCGATGTACACTCTGTGCGTGTGACAGGTCTTAGCCAGTTGGATTTCAGTTACGGATTCTCCCGGAAACCTACCATGAACATTAACATGACATCACATCGGGCTCTCGTAGGTAAAGAAATCTGATTGATCTCATATTGAGGTTTTTATGAATGGAGATTTCTGAAGATGTTGTTGGTCTCAGGTTTGTAGAGAAACTAATTGCCTGTGATAGGATTCAGATTCAGACGGAAGAGGTCCTGAGTTTGTCAGGAACCACTGTATTCACCATACCAGGCTTAAGGTTGAGAAACTGATCGGCGTAAAAACTCTTTGGTGTTTGTTCGTTTTTAGCTTGAGACACCTCAAAAAACTTTACATCTTCAAACAAAAGCAAGTGCAGACTAAGATCAACCATTTTTTTAAATGAAATGGATTTAAGCAGGGGAGAAGTTAAAAATAGGTTTTAACACCTTCATTTTATGTGTGTGTATTTGTATGTGCAAAAATGTGACTCATTTTTCCCGAGCAGGTAGCATGTTCATGCACATCTCTCACCAGTCTCTTCCTGTTTCCTCACTATGAAAAGATCCACCCTCCAAAACCTGTGTGCCTTTAAGCAGGTCACTTTTGTTTGAATAGCATCTGTGGTGAATCTGATGGTTAGAACCCAGGTGTTATTTTATCGTCAGCGTTTCTTCCTTGACCCAGCTTTCACGACCCATCAATCTTGTTGCCATGTCAGATCAAATGGGAAGGTCTGACAGTGTTGATACATTCTCTGACCTTTCATGTTCACCCATTTCTGTGAGTCAAGCTGATGTCCTTCTCACACTCTGAGAAAAGACAGTGGTTGGACTCCCTCAAAGAAACAAGTCTGATGACATCGAAATGTGTTGTAATACATGTTCTAGCCAAATCCACTCCAAATTTCTGTTCTTAATGTTCAATGGGAGTTTTCCTTAAGGATTTATGATTACCTACTGATTGATAGTTATGGCTTTTGATAGATACTTTTGATGTAGTTCATGTTACATTACCAATTGCTTAGATCATGGAGGTGAACTGGTCATCTAACCTGGTGAAGCACATAGCCACTTGCACTCAAAAGCTGGAGGGTGTGTGTTCAAATCCCATCTTAGCCACCTGCACTCAAAAGCTGGAGGGTGTGTGTTCAAATCCCATCTTAGCCACCTGCACTCAAAAGCTGGAGGGTGTGTGTTCAAATCCCATCTTAGCCACCTGCACTCAAAAGCCGGAGGGTGTGTGTTCAAATCCCATCTTAGCCACCTGGGGAACGTTTTTCTTGTAAGCTGTCAGAAAGTGGTGTGCATACAGTCAGAAAAAGGAAAACCACCAAAATGACAACTTAAAAAGTGATACCAAAGTAGATGAACTTTACAATTCGTAGTCTCTTTGGAAACATTCCGAATGTTCATAGCAACAAAGTATTGCTGCAGGGTGTTGAACGATAAAAAAGTAATGGTAAAATGTTATGGCATACTTTGACAAGTACTTGAAATAATTTGACAATTGGCAGGTCTTGTCTACAATATCCTGATCGAGGGTAAAGAGCTTCACCCCGCTGGTATTTTCCGAAGACTTGACTTCCTCGATCTCCAAGGCAATGTCATTGCTACATATCCCCTGACAGAGGTAGACCCAATGAGGGCGCTCTACATTGTCTCGGACATCGTTTCACCCGAAGGGTTCTATTATATCCGAGTCAGTGGTGTGGACAGTAACGGCTTTGAGTTTCAGCGAATCACCCCAACTGCACTTGAAAGTTTAAAACCAGGTCAGTGGTTATTGTAATGTCTCCTCATTAATAGAAGCTGCTCTGTCTTTGTAATGTGGGATCGAAGCCTTTATGTGCTGTTAGCCCTGATAGATGGGCTTAGTAACTTACAGTCTCCAAAATGGAGCAAAAATGTTCAAACAGTGCAAAGGATCCTAACAGATAAACTAAGAGATGACAGTCAACAAAGTGTATGGTTAACACGATATCTCATTTTGTGAAACAAACAGGATGACAAATACTTCTCATTTGTTATTTTAACTGGAACATCTCATTGGCCAAATTTCTTATTTGTCACTACCAACACAAATTTCACTCGACCGATAGACCTTTTTCACCCAAATGACTGGATTGCGCTAAATGCAAACAATGTCACCACGTGTAGACCGCCTTGGTCACGTTGATCGCATATATTCCTACGGGCAGCTTCAACCACGTGCAAGCTCAAGAACTCTGCATGATTGACTAGTTTATCTTGAATAGGTAGATTACCATCACAACACATTGCACTTGTTACCTTCATAGTACATCACGGTCCAGCACGATGTTGACATTACTGGAAAAAGGTCTATACCTAGCTGCTTCCTCAAAATTAAATCGGTAACAGGTGTTTTTAAAATTATAGTGAGACATCACAGTAGATTGAGTTTGGCATCTATGATAGAGAGAATTCTTTCAGTAAAGAGCTCTTGATATCCTCTGGGTGTGATGGTATGCCCTACCCTGAAGCTGCTGTCTACTGGGAGAGAATGAATGCAGAAAGGATGGCTTTGTATTCCCTTGGTCTGAGATATCAGTAAATTAGCTGAAAAAGGCTAGCAATTGTATTGTCTGTCCATCCATCAAACCAACAGACACTTTCTCAGTTTTCCTCTGTCATTTCCTCAAGTCTGTCATCATCTTGATTTTTCTGCATCATTGCTAACAGATCTGAATTTACTAAAGGATTCACAGCATTTGTTCTTTAACTGAAGAAGAGAGCAATAGAATGATGTGTATTTTGCAAGCTGTAATGATAAGCTCCATATGAAGCCATTTGTGTAGAATATAACCCAGCTATCAATCAGATATATTTTGCTTTTTCCTTTTTGTTCTTGTTTGTTGGTTTTGTTTGTGGTGGTGTTGTTTTGTACTTTTAAATTTGGTTCAAAATTCAGGATTTAAATAAGGAAAATGTGTAGGTATCTCAATTTGTGATCTTGCATCCTGCAACTGTGTCTCTGTCATTATTTAAACAAGTTGTTTTTCTGTGCTAATTTCCAGACCCTCCTCGTGTGAGGATGTCACCATGGACACCAGGTTACTATGGTTCCACATCAGTCATCACGTGTGCAGTTGAAAGTCTGATACCCTTTACTCTCCACTGGACCAGAGATGGACTGGTCATCAGTGAACCTGTCCAGTACAGGTCAGCCAATCAGAAATGTTTCTGTCTTTGACAGCAGAATATTTATCCATTGGAGTTAGACAAATCTTTTTCATCTTTACTGGCAAGTTTGTATGATATGTGTGGGATTTTGAAGGAGACATACATTTGTGTTATAATATCTCAATTTCTTTCCTCACAGTGAAAGTGCCGATGCCACATATGAAATTCATAACTCTGTGACTGCCAATGAGGGATTTTATGGCTGTAATGCAACCAACACAGAAGGTTCCAGTAGAGCTGAAACTTACCTAGATATCACCGGTATGATTACACTAGGCAGAAAATTCCAGTAGACTGGAAAAAAGCAAGATATAATCTGTTTTAGCTTTTAACATTGGTCAAATTTTTATTGTGGTATCTATTGTTTTCATATAATTAATAAATAGAACATCCATGTTTCATGTTTCCAACCAAAATATGCATCTGTACCAAATTTCTTCCACTTCAACACCATGAAGTCACCTGTTGATCATGGATCTAACTGGACACTCGAGTCACACCCTACATACATCCACCAATTACTCCTCTTCAGAATCTAATTTCTCTGAGTATTTCTTGAACTCCCTGTTTCCTCCAATGAAGTAGATAAGAATAAACAGTCAAGTTTTAGGTCCTTTAGCTTAACGCTTAAGAGGGACAAAGTGCCCCCCCTTTTCCCCTTGACTTGGAGGAAACACCAGCGGAAGCTGGTCAGGAGTTTATCAGGAAGGCACTGGTTCCTAGTCATTAGGGAGTTGTCAAAGAGATGGCCTTGGGATAGATGTATCAGTTGTCAAAAGCAGCATTGTCATGCCAACAAATTCACAATTATCTTCTATATATATATATAAGAAATATATACAGAAATATATTAGAAATATATATTGGAAGTGCTGTTGAATGGATCACAAATGCATTCCTGTGACACATATCATTTTTAAAAAGGTATAGAGGTATAATTTATATGGAAATTGATAGATGTCATGAAATTTGCATGACTTTTTGGTGAAAGGAAGGGCAGTGCCCCCCTCCCTTTTTGACTGGGGGATGGCCCCCTACTTTTTGCAGGTCCTATAATGGGGAGGAGAGCTGCATGGATTGGCCTATTAGTGGCTGATGCACGATGGTCTCATAACTGGCCCCCCCCCCACTTTAAAAATTGTTCTGTCGCTGTTGGTGTGCAAGATATATCCCAGAGATTTGTAACAGCAACACGGTTTATTGGTTACTCTTGTTACCTGGGGTTGGATTTTTGCCTAACCATTTAGTCATTCAACAATCAAGTCATCACGAGTGGCCACACTCTGCTGGGACATTTCCCCATTCCAAATTTACCAAATGAGACTAAACTTCTAACAGAATCTGCAGAGGCCCAACTTGCGTCAATTAAGGCCAATGCATATAGGGGACTAGAATGAGATGCTCTGTGTGCATCTACCCAGTTTGTTTGGCCTATCCAAAATCAACTGAATTTGAGTGTGATGTTACCATCCCTTGCAGAGGCTCCGCCCATCCTTGACACACCGGAGAACGTGACCGTCACACCAGGTGACAGTGCTGTCCTGTCCTGCCATGTCATCTTCAGTGCTGTAGAGTACAACATGACATGGGATCGGCCAGGTTCCTTTGTCACGTTGGCCATCCATAATCGGGTCTCCCAGCTGCAGAACGGTTCTCTGCTGATTCAGAATATCAACCTGGCTGATGCTGGTCGGTACCGATGCATCGCAGCCAATGAGGGTGGACCGTCCTACGAAAATGTCTACTTGTTTGTACAAGGTGTGCTTTAACAATCAAAGAACTGAAAACTTAGTGATGTATCAGAGTGAGGATCTATTTATGTGGATTGTAATGTTCCTATGTCTCATTTTGATAGATTCAGTGACTTGGTTCTCATTATTAACCACTTGCTGCCAGGGAACCCCGTTTTGAGCACCGTGGGTTCATATGCAGAGCCAGGGTGTCCAAAATGGGACAAAGAGCTGGTCTGTGTAACAAAAGACCGTACTCGGAACAAAAGACCTGCTGCTGGGAATTGCAATCATTTTTCGGCTTGTACTTTTCTGAGGTAATCAATCACTGTTTTTAAACAGTATACCACTGTTTTGTGCATAGCGTGCCCGCGGATGAGCACCGTGGACAAAAGTGCTCCAGGGCCCCATTGATGAGTGGCACAGCACTTGGAACAAAGGAAATTATGCAACACCTCACAATTCTGGTCTCTCTTTACAGGGCCGCAGGCCTGGCTGAAATATTCAGGAGTCAATGAAGGTTACCTGTTTGCTTAGAGTAGCCACCAAACAGGCATTCATGTGGGTGTAAACGTCCATTAAATGAAATGATGCATTTTTGAAGAATTTTGAAAACTGAAAATCTCCTGTATGTGTGCACTGCATTTTTAAAAGCACCCTGCAGCAAGTGGTTAAAAGTTATAAATGTAACAAAGGTAATTCAGGTGAGTGAATCATTGTCTGATTTTGATTTTAACTTTGATTCTGATTTTGATTCTGAATTCAGAAAAACCAGAAGTGAGGATCAGTGGTGGCAACCTAACCTTCACCAGAGGTCAGAATTTCTCCATGACCTGTACGGCCAGGGGCTTTCCAGTCCCTCACTTGACCTGGCTGAAAGATGGCCGAGAATTACCCACGATTCCCGGACTCATAATCGGTCCAGATGGGGAACTGACTTTCATTAATGCCAGTCCAGAGGTGCATGGCCATTACACCTGCATTGCATCCAATAGTGCTGGCGTATCTGGAACATTATCGACAGTCCTTTACACTGGTAAATCAAAGTTGAAGAACATCAGTTGAATATTTTAAAGTGATTGCATTTTGTTATGTGAAAAAATTCTAAAACAAAGTTCTATTATCTAATTTTACTTTACTATATACATGTGTCTTGAGAAAATCTTGTGTGAAACTTACATTTTAAATTAAATTTGGATAACACTGGAAGCAGGATCCAGAAAAAAGAAGTTGTTTATAGTAGTTTCCCACAGCAGGCATGCTTGCGTATTTGATGCATCATTTAACAATATCATTTGTTGCTTTTACTGCCTTTAACTGCACTTTTTTGTATCTTGGTCACAGAGAAGCCCATCATCGACATGCCTACCCATCAGCAACTAGCCACGCCCGGTGCCCTTTCAACCTACCTTCACTGCCCCGCAACCGGTATCCCACCACCCAAGTTTACCTGGTTCAAGGATGAATTTGACCTAAGTGCTATGAGTTTCATCAGTGTCCATAGTAATGGAACGTTGGAGATTCTGTCCGTCCAGATTGTCGATAAAGGAGTCTATACTTGCGTGGCTACCAACACGGCTGGCAATGATACGGCCGCCATTACTCTCGACGTTGGAGGTATGTGTAGTCCAGTGCTCCCACAATCCACTTGATTTCCTTCAAGTTTAAAGAAAGAGTTTGATACCTCAGAAATTTAAAATATACATTCATGATGCTTATGTGCCCATAGTTTCTGACTTAAATTTGTATCTGATCTAGTCCATACATATATTAGTTTCAGGACAAGTGCTTACACATTACATGTTCATTGAACAAAGACTAGTAGTTAAACCTATGGACAACAGTGGGAAATGCTGTGGAGTTTTTGAATAGAAATGATGACAAACAAAAGGGAAATAAAATGGTGCTTGTTGATGACCAACAAATTAACATCCTTCATTTTATTTCAATTTTCTACTTTGTAGCTCGTCCTACTATCTTGACCATACCGGCTGATATTGGTGTCCAGTATGGTCAGAATGTGACCATGACATGCTTGGCCCGAGGTACACCCCAACCAGTCATCAGTTGGAGGAGAGTTGGTGGTGTTCCCATCGACAGTAGCCCTCGTGTCACTATACAGAGCAATGGAAACTTAGTCATCAGAGGTGAGACTGAATAACAGTTGCAGAAAAACAGTCCTGGACCAAACAAATAAGACCTAAAGGTTAAAGAAGCTGGAAATTATGTATTTTAGTAAACCTTATTTTTAAGGAATGTCTGACTTGTAGGACAAAATGTTTGACAAATTTTTGAACTTCTTGCTAAACTGGAATAAATTCTCTGGAGCTTAAACTTTCTAATCTCTTCCAACTTTTTTAATCAACTGTTGCTCGTTGCCATCCAATTTTGTGATTGTTAAAATTCCTATACAGTTCTAGAAATTTGTATTTGTTTACAAGTTGTACATGTGTGAATGCAAGTCTTCATTTTTGATAACTTTGGCAGTTTGAGCTTAAGTTTTTGTGTCTTACGTATAAAAGAAACTTTCATAGTAAACTTTGTTTGTGTGATTGTGTTTTCTGATTAAGACATCAATGTTGAGGATGCTGGGACATATGTCTGTGAAGCAATCAATGAGCATGGACGAGATGAGGTGTCAGCCCAAATACGAATCACTGGCCTGGGTAAGTCCATTCAACCCTAATAACCCTTTCCAATTATTACTTGATTGGGCTCGGGAAGAAAAACCTGCAAACAGAATTATGAAGCTGTTATACACATAGATGTTTTTAAATTGCAGGATACCAGCAAAATGGATTGTGGATTCATTGTTGTAGGCTAGTTCTCACTCATTTTTGCTTCAGGTGTAAAATTTCTATGCAGTGTTACCAGCTCTGAAGCAAGGCTCTGAGTCCAAATGGTTAATATAACTTGGATTAGGAAGTGATTTAAGGTGTTTATGGGTAATGTGAATTATTATCAGTATTGTTTAGTCTTGTTCTCAAGACGTTTGTGTTGCCTGACCACCCATGATGTCAAGTGCTCTCAGTTAACTTATCTCCTAGATATGTCAAATGTGTGGTAAAAGCAATAGTAAACTTGTCAATAAATTTCTGATCTTATCTTAAATTTTGACAGTTCAAACTTGTGTGTGAAAATCTTTGGTGTTGGAGCTTTGCAGTTTTGCCGTACTTTTGTTCCACTTTTATTTCTTTTTTTTTTTGCATTTCGAGTTTATGTAATATTTATGTTTCTTTCTTTGCACCTCATTTCAGTTCGTCCGGACATTGCAGACAGCCCCGACGTTTCCGAAAAAATCGGCACAACGGTGACACTTCCCTGCACCCCTATTCTTGGTAACCCACCCCCAACCATTCACTGGTACAGAGATGGTCTGCCCATCAGGCATGGAACCCACTATCGCGTCAGGGAAGATGGTAGTCTCAGGATACATCCATTGCGACGAGATGATGCTGGAATGTATAGGTGTGTAGCAAGTAACGTTGCAGGGAATGATACGCTGTGGACTCATGTTACTGTCCAAGGTAAGAAAACTTTGGCAGATTCTTTGCCGTCATGAAAATTTGTTCCCTGAAAAAAGTTGTATTTTGTGCTTCCAGTTACATATTTGTATGGTGATCATGACTGAAAGAAAATTTCAAGAAGTAGCCAAGCAATTAAATACAATAAAAAACTTCAGTTAATATTTGTAATAACTTACTGGATTTGTTCATCCCAAACAGTACCACCAACCATCAACAGCACAGAAACCAGTTACACCGTTGTCTACCGTGACTCGGTTGAGCTGCTCTGCCCAGCGACTGGCTTTCCACGACCCACCGTCGCATGGTTCAAGAACGGTGTTCCAATCTCCTCTAATGAGCTGAACCAATATGTAACAGACCAGGGGTCCCTAGTCATTACATTTGCCAATGAAGATGACGCAGGAACCTATACTTGCATGGTGTCCAACAAGGCAGGCAGCACAGATCTGGAAATAACTCTCCACGTCCTTTGTAAGTACATTTTGATTTTAAAAGTCCATGTTGTTCTGATAAATGAGTCGTTACAACTCTTCTCCCTGAGCAGATAACAGCTCAATGTATACTTAAACCTTGCCAATTTAATCAATCTCTCTTATCCTTATGCTATTGTTTTACTCTTAATCATATTTAAGCTCCTCCATCAATCACTGAGCAACCCCTTTCCCCTAACCTCAACGTCACCGTTGGTAGCACCATCGCCATTAATTGTGAGGCTGAGGGTCTGCCTCCTCCCACAATCCACTGGCTTCGTGACGGGAACCAGCTACGCAGCAGTGGTGCTAACTATGTGATCGATTCGTCAGGATCGTTGACCCTGCAACGCATATCAGTTAATGACCAGGGGCAGTATGTCTGTGTGGCATCCAATATTGCTGGCAACTCCACCAAGACAATTTACCTCAATGTTCAAGGTGGGACACTGTCAATTGTATTTTTGTACTTTATGTTGATACCGACATGATAACCCTCATTTAATTTCAAAGACAGGATGACATAGTGTTAAACACTAATCAATCAGTAAGTCAATTTCTGCCTTTTGTCCTTCGATTCATTCTAGAAAGCATATCAAAGGATTACTTGAAAGTTCACTGATAATTGATAAACAAAGTATTGACATTCATTTCTGGATTTTAGTACAAAGCCACAAGTTGCCATGTTAAACCTGTTTCCATTCTAACCAACAATTCCAACTCTTGATCTGTTCCTACTTCTTTCATCCCTAGTACCTCCCAGTATTCAAGAGAGCGGACCTATCGATCTGACTGTACTGGTTGGTAATTCCATTGATTTGTCCTGTGAAGCACTCGGCATACCTGCTCCTGAGGTTACTTGGCAGAAGGACGGTGTTCAGCTCAGACAGAATTCACAGCTGATCTTCCTGCCCTCTGGATCTTTACGGGTAAGACCAGAGCTATCCAACTGTTTGCCTATTCAGCATTGGAATGTTCTGAAGTTGATTTGATACCAGTGCTCTCATGTCTTATCATCCCGAACTCCACACATTTGTCTCAAGTCTCAAACAAATTAGGAATGGACAGAGTTATTGGAAGACCTAGTTAGGTATTTCATCCAAATTCAAAGGGAATGGGAACTTTGTAAATGTTTATTGTCACTTTGATCATAGTTTGACTTCAGTCACTTCAGAATGGTTTGTGTACTGTGAAGACACAAGGTAGAGTGACGTTAAATCACTTTGTAACAAGTGATATTTATTGCTGTGATAAATGCCTTTCCTGTCAGAAAGCAACAAAATATAGATGTACATGACTGATTATGATAAGTTAACCTCACAGCAAGCTAATAACCAAATGTGCATTGTGTGGAGATTTGTCTCAACATCCATGATACCTCTGTTCTTGATTCTAGGTACAACAAGCTGATCAGATGAATACTGGTACGTACATGTGTGTAGCCAGCAATGCAGCAGGTTCAACATCTAAAGTCATCACACTCACTGTGCACAGTAAGTCAAGACATGTCCAAATCAAAGTCTGCGGCTAATCACAGCATTGACAGTATGAGAATGTTGAAGCCATAGTCGTAATGTCTCATTCAGCTACGGCTACTATTTTTCTTCAGTGAACTTAAATCATTACCCATATCGCATCTGCACTTCCTTCTCACCGTTGTTAATGAATGCAGGAATGTTAACGATAAAGTGGAAAACAGCTTGTTGCATTTTACATTTCTATGACTTGTGTTTTATTTTTTTCATTTCAGCATATCCAAATGTCACCAATTTCCAGAGTGTCTATATTATCAACCAGACTCAATCAGTCACTCTCCGCTGCCCTGCAACCGGTTACCCACCCCCCACTGTCACATGGACCAAAGACGGCATGCCTATCTCGGAGAATGACTTGGACCGGTCAAAGTATTTCATTGATGAGTCTGCTGGTACCTTGCAGATCATTGATGCTAAATATGTGGATTCAGGAACTTATGAGTGTCTGGTTACCAACTTGGCTGGCGGTATATCCAAACAGATCACATTGACCGTTAATGGTAAGTTTTCTACAGTCATTCAATTTTTTTGGCCATCATGTTTGTTTGCAGTTACAGGTAATGAGGGGTCCATTTTTTTTTCTAGTCCCTGTCACATCGGACATTTGATTTTGTAAGTTCAGAACACATTCTCTTATATCCAGGAGTGATGAATTAATGCAAATTACCTACCAAACAAATAGAAATAGTTTGAAATCAATTCCGGTGATATTTCCATGTCAAATAACAAAGGTCAGATGTAACAGGGACACAAAAATGTCACACTCTTGGACCTCTTATTTCTGGAATAAACTTAACTTATTATTTTGCTAATATTTTGACCGCTTTCTTTGAACATCACAAGTAGTGATAGCTAGGTTGAGATGTTTACTTAGGAAAATAAATGGAAATTTTGGATCACAAGAAAAGCTCAAGAAACCAGCCTGATACTCTGCTAACTAAACTGTCTGGTGCTAGAAGATACCAGCGCTAATGTAACTCGTCCCATTTCAATGTAGGAATTTAGCTTTTTAAGTATGCACTCATTTCTCTTCATTTCACTGCCCCCTCTCTCTAGTCCCTCCAACCTCCGATGGCGAAGTTGACATCCGAACCCTGCAAGTCACTCAGGATCAGTCCATCTCCCTTCAGTGTGATGTCATCAGTTACCCTCCTCCTGAGTTTACCTGGCTGAAGAATGGCCGTCGGCTTCCAGGAGACCTACGCCATGTTGTCAGACCAGACGGAACCTTGGCTCTATCCTCTCTGAGATTGATTGACAGTGGAACCTACACCTGTATTGCTAGTAATGTTGCTGGCAGTACCAACATCATCTATCGGCTACAAGTGATCTGTAAGTGTAATGTAGACATGTGGCTCCTGCGTTTGGTGGTCAGAGGTTCTTGTAGCTGCCTTTTATTGGTTTCAATCAGGCATGGGAATCTTTCTGATTTAACTGGAATTCCATTTTTGTTCCCTTCAAATGTGTGGTCTTCGAGTTCAATGTAAAACTGGAATAAAATTTGGGGAGGGGAATAAGTTGCACGGGGGGACTGTTGGTTGACTACATGGCGCTCAAAATTTCTCCAATTCCCAGTGAAATGTGAACGTTGAAACAATTGGATTCACACGCCGCTTTGGGAAAGTATAAGCAATGCCCTTTGAATTGTACAATGTACGTAGGAAACGAGGAACAAATTTTGCAGATTCCCACGAACCTAAATTCTCTTTATGTAGCCAAAGTAGGGAACCAGTGACAAGTGCAGTTGCTCGCACTTCGCCTTAAAGCCACGTCGCAATCATGTGAATGCCCAGTGTCACATGAAAATCTGACTCCCGTAAAAATCAGACGCGTACTTGTTATTGGTTAATTCCTCTCACATGACCGGTCATTCTCCCAATTATCATGCGTACGCATTACTCCCAATGGGTCCTTGTTTCATAGAGACATAAGTTCATGGCAGCGCTGCTGCATGGCCATGTGTGATCCGGCTTATGGAAATTGGTACTAGTATGCGTGTATGTATACATGTGCACATGCAGTTGGGAAAAAATCTAAATCATGGCGGAAGGAAAGAAGTTCCTTGAGCATTGAGATGCCGATCCGAAAGAGATTGACAAATCAGTAAAACACAAGTGGAATTGGTCATGGTGCGACAAATTGTTACTGGCTAAAACGGAAGATGAGCAAGTGGTGGGCGACTGCTTTTGTAAGCTTTACAATCCTGGAGAAGCATGGTGTGAGTGGTGTTGTGTTTGTATCAAGTACGGTACTTCCGGAGCTAAAGCATTGATACAGGATGTAGCTAAGTATGATAAACACCGCAAACACTTCCATGATAGGACGAGGGCTCGGCAGAAAGTACTGGAATGCCTTGCTGCAAAAAGAAAGAAGACGATGTCAAATCAACATCCTCATATTTAAACGGCTATTTCATGTTTTACGAGTCCAATTAATAAAAAAATTAAGAGTAATTTAAAAAATAATGAGAAACATCCTTACCATTGAGAAGATTTTGCTTCAATAAATTGGAGGCAAAGGGGCCATGAATTGCCTCAGATTGCACCACAGAGCATCTACAATCCAACATTTTCCCGGGGCCCTTAAGCAAGCCCCGGACCCCATGCCATAAGGGCATCGTGATCCGTGCTCGCAGAAGTCTCCCTGTGATAACTTTCATCACAAATTATTTTCGTTTTTTTTTCTTCATGCCCATTCTTATGCCTGTTTAAATGGCATTTCATATATTTGTTCTTTGTTATTGAATTGTTGTGTTAAAGAAAAATTTGTTGTTCACACAGCACCCCCGTCGATTGCACCAGGCTTGACCCAACTAACCGTTGAATCAGGTCGAACCATTGAGCTGTCTTGCGAAGTGGACGGTATCCCGACTCCACAAGTGCAGTGGCACAAGCAGGGCATACCCCTGGATGTTGACAACAACCCGAGGATAAACAGACTGGTAGCCGGGTCACTGAGGATCCAAGGTGTGACAGAGGAAGATACAGGAGAGTATGAATGCTATGCATTCAATGCAGCTGGGTCCGCATCCAGACTTATCAATCTAGATGTTAGAGGTATGACTCTAATCATAGGCTTTCTTTATTGTGTCTTGGAATGGCTGGTTTGATCATTGTTATCCTTGTAGGGCATTGGCTTATATGTCAGAAGTTGTATTGTTTTAAGTAAACGGAAGTTCTACAAATCTAAAGTTATCCTGTTTTGGATTCTGGAATCAAGGAACAGTCTGTCTGATGATATGTAAAAGTTGGCCCAAACAATTAAAAAGGAGCTCAAAAAATTACATCATTGAAAGAATTCCTGAAGCATGTGGTGTCATATCTATTTAGGAACAAAACAATGTTTTGCTGAATATGTCAGAAAAAATCTGAAAGACAGAAAAACTGTTCCCGAAGATTTTGGGTGATGGGACTTCTCAGTGAGAATCAATTTCTGTTGAATGTCTCCATCTTGTCTGTGACTGTCTCTTCTTCAGTCTCTCCCACTATCCTTGAGACACCGCGGGAGTACACAGTCAAGGTCCGTTTCCCAGTCACCCTCCTGTGTCCTGTCACTGGTACCCCGAAACCCGAGATCACCTGGTTGAAAAACGGCCAGGAGATTGAAGATGTCCGCTACTACCAAACACAAGAGGGCTCCCTCCGCATTGCCTCGACCGTCAGGGATGATGATGCCAACTTCACATGTGTCGCCAAAAACAGTGCAGGCACCAGCTATAAAGACATCAGATTGACTATTTATGGTGAGATTCGTGAAATGAACTTGGAGAAATGTGTTAAACATTGTGGGGTGAAAAGACTTGTGTTTTCTAGGAACTCCTGTTCATTGTGTAATTCAGTACCTAACAAACAAAACAAATATTTGAGCATTATTTTTTGGTATATGAGAAATAAGTGAGAGATTTGTTTTTAATAAAGGATTTTTTTTCTGAATTCTGCGCTCTCAAATTTTGCTCGTAGTTTGACCTCAAGTGTTGGCCTGAGTGAAACTCATCGGTGTAATACTTCTAATGTTGCCATTTGTTTCCAGTTCCACCTTATGACCTGACCATCGGTGATAAGATGTTTGACTTCTTCCTAAATGATCGCATCTCCCTTCCATGCGTCATCGACAGCTACCCTCCTCCTACCATCATCTGGAAGAAAGATGGAGAGGAACTTGTCATCGATGGCCAGAACTATGTCCAGGAAAAGCATTCCTTGGAGATTCCCAGGGCTAAAGTGTCTCACTCGGGTGTCTTTGAGTGTGTGGCGACTAACATTGCTGGTAACATCACCAGAAGCATGATTGTTCATGTTATGGGTAAGTTGGCGAGCATTTCTGGAACATACCTTATCCATCTTGTTAGCCCAAAATTTTATCCGACCACATCTGTATTGGGTCAGACAAATATAAAAGTGGTCATAAAATTCTGATGTTCAACTGTAATTTCAAACTTTGAATCATGATGCTGAATTGAGGAGTCCTATTACAAGTTACATAGTCATGTTGGTGACTGTGTTCATTTCAATATTCTCGGCCTTCCTTACAAGTCAAATCAAACTCATCGCCTCAATCTTCTGCCCCAGTTACCCCAAGGATCGGCATTGGTCCATCTGTCATCAAAGCCTTTGTTGGGGATTCCATCACCCTCCCCTGTGAAGCAGTAGGAATCCCTGCCCCTGTTCACACTTGGGAGAAGGCAGGACGTCTCCTAGATTTGGAGAATGGCAGGATTGCCCAGCTTTTCTCTGGATCGTTAGCCATTGATAACGTGACACAATCTGATGCTGGGACATACCTGTGTCTTGTCCAGAATGACGCCGGATCTGACACTAAGGAGATCAGAGTTGTGGTTCAGGGTGAGTTGTTTTTTTTAATATTTGAAACGATATTTGATTAACGTATTTTTCAAAAACTTCCAAATATTTTGGAGTTTCTGTGACTCAAGAAAAGATATCTTAACTATAAAGATAAGTTACCTAAAATAGTATCCTCATGTTGCTGGTTGATGTTTGCAACATGCTGAAAAATTCACAAATGTAGCAAATTCACAGACACCTATGTAGTTTAAATTTTACAAAGGTCAAAGTTTGAAAATGTGAAATCTTTGTGTTCCTCCCTAGTTCCGCCAATCATCATCCAAGACAGAGTTGAAAGGCTTGAACGACGAATCAACAGTGAGGTCAAGTTAGACTGCAAGGCCTATGGCGTCCCAGTCCCTGAGATAACCTGGTATAAAGACGGAAACAAAATTCAACAGTACGAGAATGGCTACACCATCCTAACCAATGGCACGCTTCTGATCTCCAACCTACAACCTAATGACAACGGCATGTACGAATGCTGGGCCATGAGCGAGAGTGGAAATGCAACACTAGAAATCTCCATAAACACACAAAGTGAGATGGTCTTACCAATGAAGGCATCTGATTCAAAATGTTCTGCTCCCTTGAGTTTTGTTTTTGATGTGTTGAAACTTCCACCAGTATATGTATCTGTAATGTACTTGAATGTTCATCCATGAAAGAAAGACCAAAGTCATCAATTGTTTGTGTCACAAATTCAGCTGTGTTTAATCCGTCAGTCATTTGTGTGATTCTGTTTCTTATGCAAATATGTCAGATCCTAATTGCTGCATTGTTGTAGAAAATCCTGTGGGATCATTTGTTCTACAAATGCAGTGGTTCATTTACACCCCAAATGCGCCTCATATTCCCAATCTTGATGGATGTCTTGCTTCATTGCAGTGAGGCCCTACATTGATGGTGAGAACACTATCTTCCAACCTGAGACGGTCTCCGTTACCCAGTATGGTAATGTCTACCTACATTGTAATGTAACAGTAGCCCATCCACAGGCTAGTATCCAGTGGTATAGAGACGGCCGGATTATCACCAGTCGAGGTGATCAGGGAATACAGGTAGGATTTCGGGAATCATTTCAAAAATTGATGGATCCAGATTCCATCTGGGACACAAAATAATGGCTTGGTTACACCCAAAAAGAAAACAGAAATAAAGTTAAAGTGCAGGTGATTAGAGAAGAGCAAGAATAAACAGATATTAGCAATTTCAACAAGAATATAAGGAATATTCCTTTAAAATCCTACAATTAAAAAATTGACTTGTTTCTTAATGAAAGCAAAATCCATTAAATGCTGAGATGTGGGTATGTTTAAATGAAGCACGGTGAATTTTCTTATGATATACAACATTGTTAGATATTTGATGAAAGTCTTTAAAATGTCGAAATTGAGCAGCTGAGTTATGAATTGGAAGACAGTTCCATGGTGGAAAATAGAATTTCTTGACTGTGTGTGTTTGTAGGTAGAGATGGGCGGAGCTCGGCTGAGTATTCCTTTAATCCAGGAGAGAGATGCTGGAATGTATCAATGCGTCGCTACCAATGGAATTGGCGATAGCAACAAACATTTCCATGTCAGTGTTCATGGTGAGTGTTAAAGTCATCTTGATGAGACATATACCAACCTAATTAAGCTTGGCAAGGATGGAAAATAAATGCTGTAATGTGTATTACAATTCAGTTGTACATCTGCTTTGACCAAGAGATAATACAGAAACCAAAAATTCAACTTTCTTTTGAATAATACGTAACTACTTCATGTCTTGAAAAGACTTTGATTCTGGTGAAAATACATTAAATGAGCGTCAGATGATCACCTTTAATCTTTCTTTTGAAATCTGACAGTCCATCCAGTCATCACTAGCTTACGTTATGAGCAACTCATCGTCAGTGCTGGGGAATCGGTCAGCATCGCCTGTGATGCTACTGGCTATCCTACCCCCCGCATTGCCTGGCGTTTTGAGGATCGTCCTGTCTCTGGTCAGAACCCACACTATAATATCCACTCTGATGGAACCCTGGAGATACCCAGTGTGTTTGTGTGGGATCAGGGACGTTATATGTGTGTCGCTAAGAGTGTTGCTGGGAATGCCACACGTGTTGTTGACTTGAGAGTCATGGGTAAGAAGCTTGATTATCATCTTAACACTCTGCTCTTGGTAAATAACTTTTTTACTACTCACAGCACTTGATCTTTACGTGCCTGTGCTGTGTTTTATGGGGTTTGCCTTCATCTCAATCAAAAACTCCTTGCCACAAGTTTTGAACACTTCTGATTGTTTGCGCTGAATTTCTCAGTTACAGTTTTGGCTTTTATTGAGCTTAATTTCAAATTTCATGAAGCTGCAAAGCTCAGAAAGTTCATGTCATATGCACCTTTTCAGTAGTAGGTCACTGAAGACTGAGTTTTGCTTCACGAATTTGCCTCACAACTTTGTAAAACTACACAGTACGTATGCTGAAAGGCAGCAAATTACTAAGCTGGTATCGGCCGTAACCATGGCTTCTTTTCTGTCTACCCTCAGTACGTCCAACCATCACCCAAGTACAGACCTCCCTGACTCGCATCGAAGGCTCTTCCGTTATCCTACCCTGCGAGTCAGCAGGTGTACCAGAGCCCAGCGTGACCTGGGAGAAAGATGGCATGACCTTGAACCCTGACGACGACCCAGACATGGAAATGATTTTCACTGGATCATTACGACTTGCCAATGTGGATGCCTCAGATGCTGGGCTATATCGGTGCATTGCCAGGAATGATGCTGGTCAAGCTTCAATAGCCATGACGTTTATTGTGCATAGTGAGTATCAGCAATTTTCGCATGAGGTTATTGTACTGTAGATGGAAGTGAGTCCCATAGGCAAGGATTGTTTCCTAGTAATCATTCTCTCTTCCATTTCGTAAGTCCCTGAATGGCACTCGAAGAAAAGAAACATAAAATAAGCAACATTTTTAAAACTAGAATGCAGGTTTATCTTTGACAAGGCAAAAGAGAAATATCAACTTGATTTTTGAATCTTTTTTTCTCTCCAGCTCCACCTGTACCCGACCCAAACTTACCATCGCAAATCACCCCTCGTCCATTCAATGATACCATCATCCCTTGCAAGATGACGGGTAATCCCAAACCACGCATCCGATGGTTCAAGAACAACCTTCCCGTCGCAGTCAACCGAGGGAAGTACAGGCAACTTGCCGATGGTTCCCTCCTGATCCGCAGTGTGCATGCCATGGACAGCGGTCGTTACACCTGCGTTGGTGAAAATGGTGTCGGCGTGAAATCCAACAGTGTGGATCTTGTTGTTCCCAGTAAGTAACTTGTTAGCCAAAAACCACAAGATACTGGTTAATGTAAAGGAAATGGGAGTTTTATTCAACAACACTTGGTAAAAATTGGTGCTGGCAAGCCCTTTCTTTGAAAGTAGAAGATACATTTTTAAAACCAGAGGAGCTCAAGCTGTAAACATCTTTAGTTAAGCATTTAATGGGAACAGTTCTTATTTTGAAGTCATTTTTTCCTTTCCGTTTTTCTTGCATTAGTCCCTCCTCGCATCCCTGACTCCAACACTCCAACTGAGTACCCCATCTCAGAGCTCATGCCTATCGACCTGCAATGCTTCATTACCGACGCCTACCCCCCACCCATCATCATGTGGTTCAAAGGTCGTGAGCTGTTGACTGATGACGACGATGGCATCACCATTCAAAATGATGTGCTCCATATTGATGCCATTAGGATTGAAGACGCTGGAGAATACAGCTGTCTAGCTTTCAACCTGGCTGGCAACGCCACTAAGATCTGGAACATCGATGTACAAAGTAGGCTTACGTTACTCCACATTCCACTTTTCCCCTACATAGTGTGTTAAACATTCTTGCCTATTTCCTTTCTTGTCAAAATGTTCATACAGTTTTCTGTCATAAATTTTTATCTCTTTTGTAACGTTTTACATGATGATTTGTAGTAAACATGCAGGTAAAGAAATTTGCTAATGGTTTTAGAATGATTGGTAGTTGGACGCTCAATGTTTTTAATAACCTAAAAATTGTGCTACCATGAACAAAATGACATCACTCTTGCACGTTTGTGACTTGAAGTTTTGATTTCATTGACCTTTGACTCCCATTGACCATCAGCCCGCCCCCGTGTTATCGGCGATTCCATCATTCGTGTGACTGTGGATCAAGACTCCAAGATCTTACTGCCCTGTGCCGTGGAGGCCACCCCAGCCCCGTGGATTGAGTGGGAGAAAGACGGTGAAATTCTTCCCTCCAATGTCCCGAGTCAGGAAAACAACGGAATTGTTACCATGGAGATTCCAGATGCCAAGAGAAGCAACAGTGGCATCTATAAGTGCTATGCTAGGAATGCGGCAGGAAATGTGTCCATAACCTTTGTGGTTGAAGTTCATGGTGAGTTTATATGTGTAATACTGCTCACTAAATAGGGTTTCTTTCTTAATAGAATTCCTGAATTCGTTAGGCAGGTCTGTAAAGATGGGGAATGAACTGAATAGTTCAAAGTGTCTCTAAAGTTGATTAGTTAGTATTGCTTTTTCTTTTTTCAAAGTTCCACCTGTGATTGAAGATGCCTTGAAAGAAGTCATTGCCGTGGGGCTGGGCCAGTCCATCATTATCCCTTGCCGAGCCTCGGGATTCCCTCCTCCTGAGATCTCCTGGCAGAAGAACTACCAAGACATCCCCAAGAACAGCTTGGCCATGCGGGTCATGGTGGACGGCTCACTGGTCATCAATAGCACCAGGGTAGGAGATGCTGGGCTCTATGCTTGCCTGGCTAATAGTATAGCTGGATTCCAGATGAGAGAGGTCACTCTCAAAGTTCAAGGTCAGACATGTTTTTTATTCCTACATGATATGATTTGAAAGTGGTTGGAAATCTTGTGTGGCATTTCATCTTCTTTTATCATTATCTTGGTGTATGTAAAGTTAATCAAGAAACCAATTAGTGAATGAAATTGAATGCTTCATTCTTTTTAACCAATCATTAAGTGACGTTTAAACCAAGAGTACCATCAAACTCCCAATAACCTTACATGGCCACTCCTAACTGACCCAAAGATGAGGAAAGAACTTCAGTTCAAACTAATGAAAATTTCTGTTTCATTTTAGATTGATAATCAAATCTTAAAGGGGCATTTTCTGTCCCATTTTTCAAACTCAAAAAATCCCTGGCTAGAATTCTTTTCAGATTTGTAAATAAAATTGACCAAAGGATGTGCAAAATGTTGTTACCTACAGAGGCACCGTACATTCCTCGGCCTCAACTGACAGAAGAAACTCCCCACTATGGTTCTGCGGTGCTCCTGACCTGTCCTGTCACTGGTATCCCACAACCAGACATCATGTGGATGAAGGATGGTGTACCAGTTGATCCATACGAGGCTGAGATCTTTGCAAATGGCACATTGATACTACGTAATGTCCAAGGCAGTGACAGCGGCAGATATGAATGTATCGCTGTCAATGAGGTTGGCAATTTCAGTATCTACATTGATGTCACTGTTCATGGTAAGCTCTCATAGTTTGGAAATTGAGTTTCACATCTTTGATTGTGAGGTTTTGTGAACAAGGAAAGCATGGATTTGTGTGGAACAGTAACTAGCAAACAACCAGTCCAAAAAGTAGTTCTGATTAAAATGTACTTTGCTTGTAACAGGAACAATCCAGTTGAAATTGGTCCCTGTACTTGACCTTAATGTTACACCCTGTAATGGTTGACTTTGCACTTACTGTTACCAGGAAATTCCCCTGTCATATTTTTGTTCATATTTTCCCCTTCTTGTATCCAAATTTTTACCCACAAAACATTGAATAAATACCACACTCCATGAATCATAGTCCAAGCCATTCCATTGTTTATCCATAAACTCTTGATGTCTTGTAACACTCACAGTTGATGCAGTGATAAGCAACTCTACTTCCGTTCTGATCTTATCCTGATTCCATTCCACCTGTCTTGTCTTCTTTCCACACCCACAGTTGAGCCTGAGATCAGAAACGCTTCCTCAATCAGTCTTCTCTCAGTCCTGCTCAACCAACGTCTGGACATGGTCTGTGAGATCTTAAACTCCGTGCCTCCAGCAACCATCATGTGGTACAAGAATGGTGAACCGTTACCCAGCCAAGACCCTAACTACTTTACCCAAGCTGACAACCAAATTTTGACCTTTACTAGTGCCCAGACAGCCGATTCTGGAACCTATGAATGTCGTGCCACAAACAATGCAGGCAGTACCAAGAAAATCTTCAATGTTGAAGTCCAAGGTATGTTTAAACGTCACGTTTGGAAGGTAAATGGAATCCAGCAATAGAAGCAGGAGTTAAACATTAGATCTTTGCTATTTGTACCAACTGCTCCAAGGATGTTTAATAAACAATTGTTTGTATGTTTTAATTCATTTTAGTATAGCCCATGTTGAAATCAAACATATCTTATTAACATCTTCACTTTCCTTGCTGTTAAACTGATGTGATATCCAAACATATTGGTCACACTGATCTTGTCATTAAGTGTCATTCTCTGATAACACTTCTCAAACTTTTGTATGTATAACTGTCATTTAAAGTCCCTCTGATTACTGACCACTAAATTGGTCTAATTATATCTTTCCTACAGTCCTACCGGTTATTGATGGTCAACCCCCGGGCTCCGGCCCCATCGACCCTATCTCAGTCACGGTCACCCAAGACAAATCCATTGACCTGCCTTGCCATGCCAGCGGTAACCCCCAACCCACAATCACCTGGTACAAGCAAGGTGAACCAGTTACCCATAATACACCTGGTGTGCGGGTCAGCCGTGATGGGACAGTGCTGAGTATTAGTAGGGCCAATGTCATCCATGCTGGATTGTTTACATGCTTGGCAACGAGCAGCATCGGAAACGCAACGAAGGTCTTTGCAATTATGGTTCATGGTGAGTTATGTTCTATTTGAATATTTCCCTCATTCAAACATGTACAGAATAATTACCAAAAATTCTAATTCAAAGGAAAAAAAATTGCCCAGGGTTGAGAAGCTCAACCTTTAGAAAGAGAATCAGTTAAAAAGGAGAGTTCCTAGCCCACAGTAGGACACACTGCTTGAGTCCATCAGCAAGCTCCTAAGTGATGTTTTCTCCTTTCAACTAAGAAATATAAATGGGAGTTTATGAGGGCAAACCTGGATGGTCTTGTTGGGTTATTTTTGATAAGGGATTACACATTGGACTGTGCTTTCCCTGATGCCATTTGTCAGTGATTTACACTCCTGTTGACGATAAGTGACTCTTTTAATCATGTGTCCCTTCCTGGCCAGTTCCACCTGAGATAGACAATGCCGAGACCCTCCACAACATCACCGTCATACAGAACAACAGGGTTCTTTTGCAGTGTCCAACAGTCGCTATCCCTGTTGCAAGAATCAAGTGGTTTAAAGACAACAGGCCTTTGCACACGTATGTACAAATTCCACTTCAGGATTGATTCCGACTGGTAAAAAGGCTGGGAAAATTTTGATTTTTTTTTCAAGTTATTCAGACGCTTTGAGGAAGCATCCAAAAGTGTACAGACCATTTATGTCACATTATTTTGTGCTTGGTTCCATGGTGAAGTCTGATATTATTCATGAGTTTGAAGTATTCAGTGGTAACGTACCAATATGTTAAAGACTTGCTGTAAATGAACAGATTTTTTCACCGGCTTATTTTGACAGGTCTCAAAACGTTGTTATCCGAGATGGTGGTATGGCGTTAGAGATTCGTGATGCACAGTTGCTGAATAATGGACGATACCACTGTGTAGCAACCAACATCGTTGGAGAAAGCACCAAGTATTTTGCTGTGGAGGTCTTCAGTATGTATCAAGCATTCCAAATCATTGCACAGTTGGTGAATAAACCTCTGTTTCTCATTAGTTACAAAGTGTCCAGTTTTCAGCGTAATCAAGTTGTTTTTTTTCAACAGTTCCTCCACAGCCAGTGAACAGCAATCCAAATAGCACTTCAGTTGACACCCAGAAATCTGTCACTCTGAATTGTGAGAGTGAAGGTTACCCCCTACCTACAATCACGTGGACGAAAAATGGAGTGTTCATTTCACCGGCTAGTTCAAGGTGCGAAAAAAAAGCAACTTTCTTGGCAGTAATGTGGACAAAACAAAAGAATATTGTGTTTCATTTACCTGTAATTTACAGGGTGTGATATTATGTTTAATACAAATATGAAAACATGATACTTGAAACAATTCTTGTTAATGTTCAATGTAGATACCAGATTTCATCAGGCATCCTTCATATTCCTGAGGTCAGTGTTGCTGACATGGGCTTCTACGAGTGCTTTGTCTCAAACATTGCCGGCAACTTTACCAAATCATTCACTCTGGAAGTCTTAGGTAAATCTATATTTCATTTCTTTCAATACAGCTTCAATTATGTTTCCTTATGGTTTTACATATTCCATTGAACTCCTTGGATGGCAGGCTTAAGATTTACAATTATCGGTGAGGTGAAATTTGTTTTATCTAAAACTTCAGTTAATCCCATCAGCTGCACTTTCCAAACAATTACTTCAACATGAATGATGAAGCACTTTGATTCAGGTCTCTGACAGTAAATTAAGAATGATTCAAGCCAAGATATACAGTCTTTCAGATAAGGGTCATTTGAGATCAGTTTGTTTATCTTCTTGTGTTCAGTGGCTCCAACCATCGAGCCTATCCGTGGCCCCATCTCGGTCAGCTTGGGTCGTCCCATCCGCATCCCTTGCACTGCCTCTGGCAACCCTCGTCCTACCATCACCTGGCAGAAGAACAATCAAATCTTGACCTCTGACATGGGTTATACCATTCTGGACAATGGGATGTTGATGATTGATAGTTCAGAGATGAGTCATGCCGGACGTTACATCTGTATAGCCCGAAGCAAAGCAGGGTCATCTGTGTTGAGGGTGGACCTACAAGTCCAAGGTATGGTAGAATTTTGGAACACCTAGGAAGCAGGAGAGACTTATGTTTCTAAAACTGTTCCTAAAAATTTGGGCCAACTTATTTCACTGAGTTAATGCGTGCCTCAGATCATTGTTGATGTTTTTTGAGTCCCTTGAAGATTATCTACTGATTTTTTATTTTTTTGTAAATCTGTTCTCAACATGTAGTGAGGCCTTCCATTGAGGGACCAGCATTCAGTGAACACTCGGTTACCGAGGAAGACCAGATCACTCTGTCCTGTGAAGTGAGTGGTATCCCACCACCCGTCATTCGTTGGATCCATAACAGCCAAGAGATCACAGGGAACAGTTTCCATCACAACATTCTACCCAGTGGCTCATTGCAGATACCAGTAGTTCGTCGTGAGGACCAGGGATTGTATGTATGCTTTGCTGATAATGGAGTTGGCATCGCTCAGGTGCAGCGATATCTGGAGGTCCAAGGTAAGCAATACATATATGCAAAACATGTTCGTCATTAACTCTATCAGTGGGACTGTTTGATTTTAATGTGAATTTCCTTGTCAGCATACATAAAGTATGTGTATCTATCAGCAGACACTTTCCAACCAAACAACTCTGTTATATAGTTTGGTTTTGTAGCATTCTTTTATGCGGGCACCCAATTACCAGTCCTTTGATGTGTATCTTTGCTTTAAAAAAGTAATGAAAATAGTTTAATATTGGAATAAGCATTAAGTTGAAGTAAGTGTCGTTCCCATTATTTATGTAAGTCATCTGTCTTTTACAGAATATTCATTTTCAAAATGTATTTTTGCGTTGGGGAGATGTTAATTTAAAAAACGGGTTTTGCCCTTACCCAACGTATATATTAATAAACAAGCTTGTCACTTTTTTCGCAAGCTCTCGGACAAGCACTGAGCATACAAAAGTCACAAGCTCTCGGACAAGCACTGAGCATACCGTGTTTATTAATATGTACGTTGGGTAAGGGCAAAACCCGTTTTATAAATTAACATCTCCCCAACGCAAAAATACATCTTGAAAATAGTTCACGGTACCCGCTGCTTCACCTGACTCGGACTGGCCAACCGACCCCGGCAAGCTCGGTGGTCGAGTGGTTAAGACGTCTGCACTAGTAAGCGGGAGGTCGTGGGTTCAAGTCCCACCCTTGTAAGCTTGTGACTTTTTTCGCAAGCTCTCGGACAAGCACTGAGAATATTCATTTCCATTTTGAAATCTGAAACTTGAGTTTTATTGTACCATTTATTGCTTCCTTAAGTTTTCTTGCATTCTTGAATTTCATTTCTTTATTGCATCTTTGTTTTTCCCCCAGTTCCTCCAAGTCCAAATCCTCGTCAGCCCTCAGAGTTCTTTGTCAATACGGGTAGTGTTGCTCGCCTATCTTGCATCATTGATGGCTTCCCACCCCCCACAATCACTTGGGAAAAGGACGGACAACCCATTGATACCTCAAGACGGTTATCTGTTGAAGACGATGGCACATTGGTCATTCAGCAAGTTCAAGTAGGAACTTTGTCACCGTCTGTCTTTCAAAATAAACCTGACAAGTCTGTGCTTTGGGTTGTCTTCAACCATATTTCATCATTTGTCTTATTTTGATCTCAGTTTCATTTGGACTTTTTTTCTTTCAGTTATAGCCTCTTGGTTGTTGTACATGAAGCCTCGTAATGGATACATTATTGTTGTCATGTCATTCATTTCATAAAATGAAATCATTTGTTATATTTTTGTCTTTTAGGAAAGTGACAGTGGTCAGTATGTTTGCACGGCAATCAATGCAGTTGGACACGTAACGAGAACTGTGGTACTGACAATACATGGTAAGATGTCAGAAGATAGCAGTCAGATCAAAGCTGAATACAGTCCACTCTCGGTAATACGAGCTCGGGTAAGACGAGCATATTTGCCAGTCCCGACTAAATTGTGCACATTCCTATGAGGGAAAATTGTGTAATACGAGCTCGGATGTTACGAGATTTCGCTTAAGACAAGCATTTCTTGTGCGCCGGCTGAGTGCAAATCTATTGCTATCTGTCTATTTAGCTCAAGCTTTTTTGATGGCAACTTGTCAATCAGCCAGTCCATTCAATTTTGAAAGGTGCTTCCGTAATTTATGCGCGTAGAGTAGAACAGTACTGCAGTTTTCCCTCACCGAATCAAGCTATTTGTGTCCGATATACCGGTGCCACAAGAGATATGAACAGTGGGCATTTGCTGTTCCTGAACCCAACATACATAATTCTTTGTGGTAGCTCTGGTACCACCTGAACACAAGTGAGTGCTGCCAAAAGCACTAAGATATTTAGGACAGTGGTGAACAAAAGAAATCTTTTGTATGATTCCCCTGCCCCCCAAAAATTCCCCAAGACCAAAGTCCCCCCAGGAAACTAATAAAACTTGTGCTCTATAACCAAAAACCCTGCCCCAAAAACTGCCCACCCCTGTCAAAAAATCATTACCTGCTCCCCACCGTAACATGAAAATATCACCCTTTTCGATTTTGAAAATTCTATAAATTCTCAATTCAAGAAAATCATGGCTAAACCGTGATTTTCAGTCCAAAAATATTTTAGAAAATAACATCCACAAGTTTAGAAGAAAAAAGTGCATCTCTCGTTAACAATTTATCACCAATCCCATACGCCTTTCCAAGTAAAATCCGATATTCGCCTTCTGCTTTCCACATCACCAATAGCTGGTTTCCTCTCAATTTTTTGTGTAACAAGCGCAGCTCTGGTGTTGGTTACCAACTAAAATGTTAATGTACCTATGTTATGTGCGTGAATGTCGATCTCATTACGGCGTGCGGGGACGTGTGACACCGCACCGCTCTGAATCAACGACTGGTGGAAAGTCCGCTTCCTCCGTTCTTACATTTTATGATTAGTCTTTATTACAAGTCTTTATTCATTAAACTGTTCATATACATCTCACTTTCCTGAAGTTTTTGAAATCAAAGTCATGTAACAAAACCGGCATACGTGCCTTTAAACAAAAAGTTATACTTGTACACATGTACGCTTTACCTGTGGTCGATTGGTGATACATACGTTGAGCAGGACGGCAATTTTCGCGTAAGACAAGATCCAGATAATATGAGCTAATTTAGGAAGTCCCAAGGCCCTCGTATTAATGAAAGTCGAATAGGAAATAACTGAGTAGGACTCCTTTCAATTTGTCTCATTTACAATGATTTGTAACTTTAATACAATTTATATTTTGCCATCAACACTTGCCATAAACTTTGCATAATTCTGCTAATCTCTTATTGTTTTGGTGACAGTTGGTCCACGTTTTGTCCGTTTCCCCAATGACATTGAGCTTGGCATCAGAGATCGTTTGGAGTTGGTCTGTGAAGCACAAGGCAACCCACCTCCCCAGATTACCTGGTACATCAATGGCACTCAGACAGTCAGTAAGTTGGATTCTTATGTGGTCTTCTAAGTTAAAACTGATTCACTGCAGATGAGACATTGTTTGGACCCTGTTGCGCTTTGTAAATGTCAGTTTGACCATCAAAAAACATTGGAGGAAAGCACTGATATTTTGATTTGTAATATTTATGGAATGATATTAAATTGATAATGAATATTTTACACCAGGTCCGCCCACTGTCAATGGTAGAAGCACCTATGTGATTGATAGTATCAGTAAGGATGATGAAGGAACATACAAATGCTCAGCTGAAAACACCTTGGGAAATCGTGCTGCATCAGCAGTTGTTATTGTCAGAGGTAGGCGCAAAATTTGTGTTGTAAATGTATATGTCAGAAAAAACATATGAAAATATGCAAGTTTGGGTTGAATTAAGCTTGAATTAAGATAGAAACACCAACCAGTGCCAGGTTTTGTCCTAAAAAAATGTATTTCAGAATAGAGATATTGACAATTTTGGACAGAATCAACAAGAGGGTTATTGATGCCGGAGTGATATGATACAAATCACCATTTCGTCAGTCTTTTCAACTGGAAAAGTAAAATAACAGTGAGTAAAACTGAAGATAAATGAAAACTGGAATCTTGGCCTTCTTTTCATCGGCTGACTCGATATCTTTCCTCACCAGTTCCACCAACTATTTCAGTCTCTGCTGACGACAAGGTTGTCCGTGTGAGTGACATCACCGTGTTAGACTGTGCTTCACAAGGTGACCCACCCCCTGAAGTCGTCTGGCTTAAAGGCAATAAGATTGTAACCTTCAATGACAGGATCCAGAAAGCTCCTAATGGCTCACTCATCATTTACGGGACAAAGGTTAGTTTTATAGTATTTGTAGCTATGGGAATCCAACCCCCAACGCATACCGTGTACCATGCAAATAGAATTCCAGATGTTGATCCAATGGGTTTTTGTTGTTATCTTGTCTTTATCTGACATTCAAGTAACAATTGAACTAATGACTGTTCAAGTAATTGAATTGATTGATAGATAATTGAATAAGGGTTCCGGCGGCCTGGAAAAGTCATGGAATTTTAAAATTATTAAAAAGTCATGGAATTTTGTAAAAATGACTAAAATCATGGAAAAGTCATGGAATTTTTCAAACACTGTGTGATTTCTATTATGAGAAATAAGTGCATAAAATTTGGGATTTTATTCGAAACTTTAAAAGTCTGAAAAGTCTAAGAAATTGCATTATTGGGTCATGGATTTTTATAATTTGGTCATGGAATTTAATTGCCCTTTAGGTGCAGGAACCCTGTCGAATCAGCCATTTACTTGATTAACTGACTCATCAACTGATTGGCCGCTAGCAAACCGTGACATAAGTCAGCTGACTGATTTGAACCAACCAGGTAATTAGAAAATCAACTGACTACCTTGCTAACCAATTCCAACACCTATTTCTGTCTCTGTCTTGTCCATTAGCCGGAGGACGCAGGCCGGTATATTTGCCGTGTCTTCAACCGTTTTGGCAGTGATAGTTCAGCAGCGGCTCTTGAAGTTCAGCGTAAGTTAAATTTCAATGAATTCTCTGCAGAGTAATTCCAAAAGCAAAAATTGTAGCCGAATAAAAATCTGCTTAAACATGCATGATGTGTAGTTGCCTTACAAAATCTGCACTGTCACAATTTATGGAGTCAAATTTCAGTGATTTGAAGCAATTTTTAAGAAGTGGACAGCTTTGATTGTATTCTCATTTGGCATAAGTATAAACAACATGGACTCTGTATTAATAACACACTTTTGTACTTTTCTTTTGTAAATTTTGCCTTGTTAACCACTACCAGCCGGGGACTCCGAAATTGGACAAAGGAAACAGGGCCCTGTAACAAAAGACCGTACTCCGAACAAAAGACCAGGCTGCTGGGCATTACCGGCATTTTGCAATCTCAAAAGTGGTGATAATCCAGCGTTATTTAGAAACCGTATACCAGGGTTTGGGGTATTTAGAGCAAGCGGATTACCACCGGGGACAAAAGCACTCCGCCACCGCAGCAA